TGGAAAACAGCCAAGACCCAAAAAAAAAAAAAAAAAAAACAGCTGGTGTGGAGGATGAGGAGGAAGCAAAAGAGCAAGAAGGGGAATCATCTTTATATATATATATATATGAAGTTGATTTGATTGTTGATTCACAATGTTCTCAGAAACATAGCAAGTCATTACCATAAGTAAGCTTTGTTTGTCACAGTTCTTGTGCAGAGTTTTGTTGTGCCTGACTGCAAACCCATTAATCCACCAACTGATCTATTCTAACACTGCAGGCTGTTTTATTAAAATTTTGCAGAAATTAAAATTTGCGCAAATCGTAAAGATTTGCTTGGAGCTCACTGAATGTAGTTTAGGTAATCTTAAAGCCTGTTATAAGCTGTATGTGTTTTCAGTAGAAATGCAGAATGCTTTGAATAGTCTTTGCTTTCTTTCACTCATCAGCTGGTGGTGAATGCTGCCCTGGGCTTCGACACGTTTGTTGTGATGCGCCATGGCCTTAAGAAATCTTCGAACCATCAGACTGTTTCTATAGAGACAGACTCCTCCCCTTCCTGCTCCTCTGCTTCCTCCTCATCCTCCACACCAGCTGGTTCTGCCCCCCGTGTCCAAGGGTCCTCTCTGTTTTCCAACATCCCAGGTCATAAACTGGGCTGCTACTTCTGCAACGATGTTGTTGCACCAGGAGATGTGAGGAAACGCATAACATGCAAACATGCACCTCATAAAACATATACTCCAAAACAAACGGATAAAATAAAATTTAAGATTTAATGACACAGTTAACAGCTACAACAGACTGCAGCTATCTGAAAACTTCAGTGTATTCTAACTGTAGATTTACAGTATAATTTGAAGAGTTGGTGCAAACATAAGAAACAATTTTGGACCTTCTAAATGTATTATTTATCAGAATATTGTTTTAAAACATATCAGTTAAAGCTTTAGAGCTTGTTTTGCTGCCTCAATTTATCCAGTATCTATTACAGACACCTTAAATTGTAAATTTCACCCATATATTATTTAGATAATTTTATGAAAGGAGTGAGATGTAGTGTATCTAAAAGATGTTTTTTTATTTTTATCCGATTTTTCATTGTGACGTTAGAATAATCTGTAGATTTAAATCAGCTTCTATACTTGTGAAAGTCACACTTTTTGTGTCGCCCACATTCTGCCCATGTCCCCTAAAAGCCTTTGTTTTTGCTTTTTGTCCTTTTCCCTCCCTCATTACCTTTTCACATGAGTAATAATAAGTAAGGTGTGTTTTTCAACTCTGAAAGGCCTGAGCCATTCGGGGGAAACTTGCTTCATTCACCTTCTATGACTATAAATGTCGTTTGGCTCCCACCCACCATCACAGATTACAGTAATATTCTCATCAAAATTAAAGGTGCTGCTTGCTCACTAACAGATTTAGCGAGCACACTTGTGGTGCTCACTAAATCTGAAATGTAGATGAGTGTTCATTTGGTGAATGAAAGAGACAACGTGTAGATATTGTAATGCTTATGCAAGTCACTTTTGTTGTGTATTTTTCTATGAATTGTCACAATATCTAACTATCATTGATTTGCTGTCATAAAGAAACAAAATAAGCTCTGGACCTTCCTTTTTCCTTTGAATTTGCTTATCAAACTCCTTGGTTCACAATTCAATGTCCAAACACTTGTTAGTTAAATTGCAATTTTACACACAAACTGATAGCTGATCCATTAGCTATGCCACTTATTATTTCAGATGGTTGCATATGTGCTGGAGCTGCTCTCAGATGAATCTGTGAAAGAGGCCTGCACAGTCAATAACAGAGCCACATTAATGATACCATTTATGAAAAGACTGCAATATCAATAAAAGCCTACTTAGCTGAAAATACACTAATGTGTTTCAATGTGAGGTCACCAGTCTGTGATCCAGAACTTGAACCTTAATCCTTATAGATATGAGCATCTGCTAAATGTGAATATTTTCTCTTTACCTAAACACATTTTGTCTGAATTTTTCAAGCTTCATAAGTTGTGCTTTGTTTCACCACATTATTTCTCATAATATCATTTCTATGTTCCTCTTGGTAATTTTCTTGATTCAGTTATTTTGTTTCCGTTTTGTGAACAGTCTACCAGGGATCGGACCCTGGATCAGCAGTGCACAGTAAGCCGGCCAGGCCTTGCCATGATTGCTGGGGCTCTCGCTGTGGAGTTGATGGTGTCCATCTTACAGCACACTGAAGGGTAAATCTGTCTGCTAGATAACATAAAGCAACAATAGTGATCTGACCATGTATTTAAAGCACAATGTTTAATATAAATATTCTTTATCTAAAGAAAAATGCTTGAATAAGTCAAGTACTTTATTGAATGCATAACATTATTTAAATAAAGGCCAAAGTTTTACACTAAGATTGTCTTTTGATGAGAGGGAACACAGTTATCTGTTTTAATCAAACCTTGAATATAACTGTATTTGTCATCTCATCATGTGAGACTGTAAAATCTTTCAAAACGTGTTAGTGCTCATACTATGGGTTATAAATAACTCAACTACTATTACACCAAACATGATCTCATTATGTGTAAATCTGACTAAGTTATAGCCATTTTTGTATTAGCTATAAGGTAAATTGGCTGTAGTGGCCATCTTGATTTGGATCGATTCCAAACATTATTCAGCTGTAGATGTTTAAGCAATAATTACTCTCCCAGAGTTTCATTGAAATGTTTCTTGCAGTTCACAAGATAATTTGCTAACAGACAAACACGGTCCTCTCCAATAATTAATACTAAGGTTTTAAACAAAGATGTCACACAATGTGTTGCACTACAAGTTTGTGTTTGGGACAGTGCTTAGCTACTGCAGCACATAATTTTAGCTTAATATCTAAAATACTGGATGAAATATAAACATTTTGTGATTCCTAAAGTCAACTGGTTGTGGCAAATTAGACTGAGTCCAAAAATTGGACAGTTGTAGACGTCAACCCACTTTACTTTCCTCAACTTTCATTCAAATCTGTTCTGTGGTTCATGAGAAATGTGCCACCCCACAAAGTGGATTACAATTGTTATTCATGGACAATTAGTGCGCTATGTGTAATTTAGGATACCACTTTACAATAAGGCTCCCCTTATAGATGGCTAATAAATATAGATATGTTGTTAATTCCTATATAAACCCTTTATAAATAATTAATAACTGCTTATTATGCATTAATTAAGGGTGACAGAGAGACAAAACTGACCAGTTTGTTGCCAAATAGTGAGCCAAATCTGTTCACCTATATATTTCATCTAGAGTTGTTATATTAAACGTTTCAGACTAAGTTACTACCTTGTAGCACAGTAAGCATTTGCAAACCTATTTCTTTAGCATATAATATGGTACTTTATAATAATAATAATAATAAAGTGCTATGTGTTGTCATCATTGTATGGTCCCATACAAGGACAAAATTGGCTCTCTGACTTTAACCCATCACTCCTGGGATACACCCAGGTGGAGCAGTGGGCAGCTATGTAAGCGCCCAGGGAGCAATTCGGAACTGGGTGTCCTGCTCAGACACCACAAGATGTGCAATGAGCGGGGATTGAGCCAGGACCTTCGGGTCCCGACTCGGCTGCCCTGCCCCTACACCATCTCGGCCCCAATCACTGCATTGTAAGTATTTATAACTATAGCTACTTATAATGCAGTGATAAAGTACAATATTATATGTTTAAAAAAATAGGTTTACAAATGCTTATTGTGTTTACAACGTAGTAACTTAGTCTGAAATGTTTAATATAACAACTCTAGATGAAATATATAGGTGAACAGATTTGGCTCACTATTTGGCAACAAACTGGTCAGTTTTGTCTCTGCCACCCTTAATTAATGCATAATAAATGGATATTAATTAATTATAAAGTGTTTATATAATAATTAATTATGTATCTATAAACTATTTATTAGCCATCTATAAGAGGAGCCTTATTGTAAAGTGGTACCTAATTTAGGCATCAGTCTTAGCCACTACCACACTGATGTTTATCTCAAGATCTGTAAAACTGGCTGAGTTGTCATCTTTTTTGTTTTTGCTAAGGTTGCTTTGCTGTGGTGACCTTCTTGAATTTGGTTGATTCCAACAGTAATTCACTTGTAGATGTCTTCAAATCATTACTTTCTGAGAGCTTCATTAAAATGTGCCCACCACTTCATAAGATCTCGTTACTAACACGACAGACAAACAAACATGCACATGTAAATGACCAAATGGTGCTTCATCTGCTCTCTACACAGCTTTACGCAATAGAAGTCATGCTTCACCATTGTATACCTTCTCTACATCAGAGTTTGATTCAAACTAAACTCTTTTCCAGCTCTTTCAAATGTCAGCTGCCATTGTAAATCACCCTTATCATTAGGTGTCTAAAATGGCACTGAGCTTGTCCACACTTCACTCTGAGCCCAATAGTGACTGAGATGTTGCCTTTTTGATGGAGGAGCAAAACAGCTGAGGTTTTTACAGCAACTGTGGGCATTTTGAGAAATTTGTTTGTGGCAAAGCTCTTCTGTGTGATCCCGAGGCTCAGTGAACACTGAAGTTCTCTTTGCAATCTGTAGTTCCTCGATGTTTCCTCGCACCTAGTTTATCTTCTTCAAAACACTGAAGGGGATGTTTTCATGCCTATTAAGTGTGTAGTCATGTGTACTGATGTGTTTCTGTGGAGATATAGTTATGCGTGTGTGTGTGTGTGGGGGGGGGGGGGGTGTTTTCGTGAAAGCTATACTGAAGATGCCACTTGCTGGGCCTGATAAGAGCTATTTTCTCTCCGAGTGTCTGAGATGCAGAAAGCTGTTACACTGCTGTTCTTTCAGTCCTGGATAAAACACTTGAGTGCAAAAAAGAGGAGTTTTCTTGTGCTTTGTATTTTTTAAGGTTGTTTATATCCTTTTTTTGCACTAAGATCTCCCCTTTTTTGCTTTAGCCCTCTCTGTATTCTGTTTTTCTTTCTTTCTTTTCATAGCTGTGTTCATTCCTTGCCTTCAACTATGCCATTATGTCTTTTAAGCCCTGTACTGCAACTCTCAGATCTTACTTTGCAACAACTGTGAGCTTTACATAATTGGTATGTGGGAATTCAAGCAGTTTGACAGACATTTCTGGCTTTGTAAAGCCACTGTCAGCTCTGTGTAAGATGTGATATTTTCATTATTATCAACCACAAAGAACAAAATCCTTTGAAACGTGCAAGATCAACTAGTTTGCAAAGACATTCATGGAAATGGTTAACTTGCCTGTTCAAGCAAACAAATCTTAGATTTTCCAAATATACAATTAAGCTCAAAATTACCCATGTCAGATTCTGACTAAAAGTGAATTTGTAGTTGGGCAACATCTTGCCAGAAATAACAATAAGAAAAGTCACAAAAGATTATTAAAAAAATGTGTTTTAGATGTCAAAAAAAGAACTTTACTATTGTGAAAAGACTGGCTTTGTGCTAAGGACTGCTCTGGAGACCATAGTGCTGATAGTAAAAATAAATATTTGCTACAAAAACTGATAATAAACTTAACTTTGAGTGTTACCTAGATTTTTCTATTTTTCTGTATTTACTATTTCTTTAATTGTCAACTGTTTTTTTAATTCAAATTATTATACATAATTATTTTTTCCACAAAATACAAGAAAATTAAATAAAGTAGAATTAAAACACTGGCCATAATTGTTCTCTCTTCTTTTTTATTGTCCTTTTAGTATTGCTTTAGAAATGGCCTCTTATACCATTTTGAAAGGTAATTTTTGGAAATCATTCAAATCAATTGCACGTTGAGATGCAGCAGTGCTTGACTCAGTTACTTTTCAGAATCAGAATAAACTTTATTGGCATTGCACCGAGATACAACGAGAATATGTACGTACAGTCGTCCGATAGATGGGCGGAGTGCACGAAGCTGCGGCTATAAATAATTAGCGCGGCCCTCTTAGTCTTATTCAGAATAATATTTTGCTTAGATGAGAAAAAGAAAGAAAACATGAGGAGAAAAGGTATTAAAAAAAGATCTCTCACGCCGTGTCCTAGACAGGGCACGATCTGAGGCATCAAACAAACCTACCACAGCAAAGCAACATAAACAGATGTTATACATGTACATATAGGCGGTGAAAACATTGAATTTTTAAGGGAAAGTCGTAGCATAGTCCAGAGACCCCCCCCCCCCCCCCCCCCACCAGCCATTGTCCAGATAAGAGGTGACGTTCATCTTCAGCTCGGTTGAGGTTCTGTTTTCTATCTGAAGTCACGTCTGAAACAAAGCAGCATGCACAGAGCTTCCAGCTGCCCATGGTCATATAACGTGTTCGTTAGTTGACTCATGAGCTAGAGGCTTTGCAGTCATTTTCTAATGTCGTCAGCCACAGTGCAAAGTGTACTTTTGAAGTCCATGAAGTCCACAATGTAAGAAAAAAACATGTCTGAACCTGCTAAGAGCTTTTTTTTTCAAAGTGTACAATTTTCTTGGTAGTTTTTGCCCAAAAGCCTTCTTTGTTTCTGACCAGATTTACAGACAGCTAAAACTTCTGTTAAAATCTTCCCACTTCAAGATTATCTGAATGATAAGGAACACCCTTTTGAAGAAGTTTTTAAGGCCAGTAGTGGTTTTGACTTAGGAGAAATAAGGTTTTAAAGAAGAGATAGAAAATGAAAAACCAGCATTAAATGGGGAAGATGACTTCAAGTGTCACTTATCCAACACTGAAAATGTATCCTCGATTTTGCTTCTGAGGTGGTTTCTTCCCCATTCACGCCTTGAATCTATTCAAGACACTTCTCATGTTGGTCAGGGATGTAAACTGCTTCTCTAGTTACTTTCTCTAGCAAAAGTTTAATTGACTTATTTGATGGGTGTGGGATAGACGGATGGATCGGTGCAGCTTCTGCAGTATGGTGCACTTTGTGCCGGTCTATTGCGGTGAAAAAGGAACGGAGCTACAAGGCAATTGTCAGTCTACATTCTCACCTTCATGATGTCTGGGCCGCCCTGCTCAAGCTGCTGCCCCTTCCACCTGTCTCCAGAACAAGTGGCAGGAAATGGGTGGATAGATGAAAGTTAAAAGTTTTATGTGGTAGTAGCTGAGAGTCATTCACAACACATATTCTGAACATAATGTCTTGAGATATTACTTAAGATTAAATAAATTATTTTCATGCTTTGACCAAAACAACTACATACAACTCCTTCATTTCTTTCAAATTTTCAAATGTCTTGGGGGGCCGAGATGGTGTAGAGCAGGGGTGTCAAATTCACTTACAAAAGGGGGCCAAAATTAAAACCTTTTTCAAACTAAGGGCCAATTTCAAAATCTACATTAACTCAAGTCAGTTACCCAACATCTTTTCTTGGTCACAGGTTCCTCAACAAGAGTTTGATTGGTCTTATTTGATATTCTCTGTTGTGCTTTTGACATCATAATCAAAGATTGCTGAAAAAATTCAAGAGATAGAAGTATTCTACGTTTCACATATCATCTTGGGGGCCAGATAAGATGTCAACGAGGGCCACATTAGGCCCCCAGGCCTTGAGTTTGACACATATGGTGTAGAGGCATGGCAGCCGACTCAGGACCCCAAGGTCCCAGGCTCGATCCCCAGTCACTGCACACCTCGTGGTGTCTCTGAGCGGGACACCTCATCCCCAGTTGCTCCCCTGGCACTTTCGATAGCTTCCCACTGCTCCACCTGGTGGTGGATGGGTTTAATGCAGAGAGCCAATTTTGCCATTGTATGGGAACATACAATGATGACAATACATAACACATTATTATTATTATTAACATGAGATAACCGTTTAAAGCAGGCCTGAAAGGTGGCAGGCAATATACATTTCTTCAAAGAGTTGTAGGCCTTTAATTTGATTATTTTAAATATTTTAATGTTACTAGCATACAGTATTGTATTTTTTGATTGTGCCACCTGACAACATTTTCAGCCATCAATAAACAGACCAATCAAACATCAAAGTTGGCACCCATCGTTAAGCTAAATGGCGAATCAGAATAGTTTGTTTCTTGTCAGAATATCAATAATAAAAACATTAGCATGTATTTAGTTACATGCTGTTTTGATTGGCACAACACTCATAAAATGTTTGGTACTGTTTGTTGTTTCTGTTGAAACTGAGTTTAATCAAATGACTACTTTGACAACTTGTACATTTCTCCACTTTATTCTCCATCTTCAGGGGCTATGCAGTGGCCAGCAGCAGTGATGACAGAATGAATGAACCTCCCACTTCGTTGGGTCTCGTGCCACATCAGGTAAGCGGCTGCATCTGTGTGACAGATGGTAATATAAGGTAAGACTGTCCTATATTTTAGTTTGGCTACTGAGAGAGTCCATCAAGGTCACAGTTACCAAAAGTCTGACGAAGAGAGTGAATGCCATCAATCCAGAGTGAAAGAGATTGTAGGATAAGTGCTATTTAGATCCTGATATGCATTTATATCCATGCTGTATTTAAAATTAGGGATGCACCGATCCACTTTGTTTTTGTTTGTTGTTGTTTTGTTTTGTTTTTTTTCACTTCCGATCCGATACCGATATCTGTTGACCCGGTATCAGCCGATACCAATCCTGTACATTTGAACAGTGCTGAATTATCGATATCATCATCATCATTGATTTTATATGAGGCTGTAATAATCTCCTCTCAAGTACAGTTTGTACAAATATATGTGTGCATGTCCAAAAGGGCAACTTGAGGTAAGTTTTATTAATGTTGGATGAGTTTTAAAGTTAGAATTAAATTTTGCTAACACAAAACATGTTTGTTTTTATTCCTAGCTTTAAAGTGGATATTAAAGTGATTAATTTAAGTGATTATTTAAAGTTATTTTATATATCTTTTTTAATAAGGGGCAGATATAAGATTTTTCTTCTCTCTGCACTCTTTTCATTCAATGTTTTCTTTTTGACGAATTTTTGTTTCTTTTAAATGAATGAATAAATTAATTAAATAAAATAAAATGTTAATTGGCTTGAAACATCTGCTAAGTTCATGGCATAAACCAACAGACATGTTCCTGTTTTTAGTTAATTACATCACTTTATAATGTAGCTGTTTTTATTTCGTTTATATATATATATATATATATATATATATATATATATATATATATATATATATATATATATATATATATAATTTTCTTGTAATTTTCAAATCATATGGTTTTTTTATGATTGTCTACTGTTGTACTGATAAATGTCTCCTGGAGGGTAAACAATATCCTGGCTGCAAGTATCAAGCTGAGAAATCCTTCGTTTTCTACAACTGATAGTGGTTGGTCATTAATTATGATGAAGTTTAGCAACTTCTCGATAAACATTTGAGCTCTGGGGCTTCAGTGATGTCTCTTCTTGTTCAGTCCAAAGCAAGCAGTCTGATTTCGGTCAGTCGCGCTCAGTCTGCGCCTCCTCGGAGACTGGCAGATTTAGCGGGGCAGATTGGACGCAGCTGGCCGGGGTCGGGCTGCTTGTTTCGGGTTGAGCAAAGAGTAGCGCCCTGCTGAAGCCACGGAGCTCGAATGTCCAACGTAAAACTAACTTTACCGCTATTTAATGTGGCGCTATGGCTCTGCAGACATTGCATGTTGCTGTCTTGCTTTGTGGTGTTTCTAGTGTAAAATACTTCCACACAGCGGACATGTTTAGATGAAAAGTTGGTTAGCTTTTAGCCACATTGCTGCTAACTCAGTCCTCACGTTGTAGCTGACTGCAAACTATGAACTGGATTTCCTGAAAGTGATGTGGGTCTTGTTACGCTGGGTTCATGAGACACTCCTCCGTTCAGAAAATCCATTCCATAGTTTGAAGCCAAAATGCATCATGGATCGGAAATCTCTGCAGGTTGGATCGGAAAATGGATCGGTCACATTGTCACCGATACCCGATCCAGAAGTTTTCGGATATCGGTACCGATACCGATATTGATATTGGATCGGTGCATCTCTATTTAAAATACCCAATTCCTTTGAGTTTGTTTAGACAAAGAAATATAAAATAGGCTCTCTTTAACAAACTTATTTTTTTCTCTAAGCATAGTAATTATATCTAAACTCTTCACCTCAGTCTCATCTCTCCAAAATGCATTTCCTAATACACTGAACAAAAATAAATGAGCTAAATGAGCTCATGAGCTAAACTCAAAGATCTAAGACTTTTTCTACACACAACAATAGGCCTTTTTCTCTCAAATATTGTTCACAAATTTGTGTAAATCTGTGTTAGTGAGCACTTCTACTTTTATCGAGATAATCCATCCCCCTCACTGGTGTGGCATATCAACATGCTGATTAGACAGCATGGCAGGTGTGCCTTAGGCTGACCACAATAAAAGGCCACTCAAAAACCTGCAGTTTTATCACACAGCACAATGCCATAGATGCCGCAAGTTTTGAGGGAGCATGCAGTTGGCATACTGACTGCATCAATCTCCACCAGAGCCGTTGCCTGTGAATTGAATATTAAATTCTCTATCATAAGCTGACTCCAAAGACATTTCAGAGAATTTGTCAGTACATATAAGAGGCCTCCTGCCCGCAGACCACGTGTGATGACACCAGCTCAGGACCTCGACATCCACCATCTTCACCTCCAATATCATCTGAGACCAGCCACCCAGTCAACTTCTTCAACAATCGTTTTGCATAATCAAATATTTTTTGCACAAACTCTCAGAAAACATCTCAGGCAAGCTCATCTGCATGCTCGTCCTCCTCATCGGGGTCTCCACCAAATTGCAGTTTGTCATCCTAACCAGCTTGAGTGGGCAAATGCCCACATTCCATGTCATATGGCATGTTGAAAAGATATTCTTGAGGGATGAATCCAGGTTTTCACTGTATAGGGCAGATAGCAGACTGTGTGGGTGAGCGGTTTCTGATGTTAACGTTGTGAATCGAGTGGCCCATGGTGTCAGTGAAGTTATGGTATGGGCAGGCGTACGTTATGGACAACAACCACAGGTGCATTTTATTGATGGGATTTTGAATGCACAGAGATACCGTGACGAGATCCTGAGGCCCATTGTTGTGTCATTCATCCACGACCATCTCCTAATGTTGCAACATGATAATGCACAGCCCCATGTTGCAAGGATCTGTACACAATTCCTGGAAGCTGAAAATATCCCAGTTCTTGCATGGCCAGCATACTCACCAGACATGCACCCATTGAGCATGTTTGAGATGCTCTGGATCGGCGTATACAACAGCGTGTTCCTTTAACGATTTACGAAGGACCCAGAATAATCATGAACCGTAAGAGCAACCACAAGACCAGGAACAGTTTTAAAAGTATTTATTTACAAGTGAGTGATATGCAAACAGTCAAACTGTGACCTCTGAAGGAAGGGACTGGAACGCTAAAGACAAGGGAACAGTTAGTAGGAGCCAAGCGGGTCAGCAGATGATAATAAAAACAAACAATCCACTTACTTGAGGAGAAGTTGGTAAACTCTGGGGCATGAGAGTCCAAGGTTCCTGGGTCAGTCCAGTGAGGTTTCAGGATGATCAAGCAAGTGGGAAAGGCAAGGAGGGACCAAAGGAGGTATTCAGAGAACGCAGGAAGGTCCAGGGTGTCGGAGGAGCTCAGGAGATTCTGTGAGACGTAGGAGCAAAGAGTTGGAACAAGCAGAACTCTAGAGAATACAACGAAGGGCCAGGAACACACAATCATCAGGCACATAATGCACCAGCGTTGGAATGGTGTTGTCAGGTGCCTTTTATACACATTCTGCTCATCAGGTTAAGGATCTGCAGGTGCGTGTCCAATGGCGACATCTGGTGGAGAAAGTTGCAGGAGCAAAACCCTAGGACTCCTACAGTTCCAGTTCCTGTTAATATCCAGCAACTTCACACAGCCATTGAAGAGGGGTGGACTAACATTCCACGGGCTACTATCAACAACCTGGTGGTCACCGGTTTTATGATGACCCCCCTCCCCCCTTCATTTACAGTAAAATTAAATTTCACATTTTACAGTGGCCTTTTATTGTGGCCAGCGTAAGGCACACCTGTGCATTAATCATGTTTTCTAATCAGCATCTTGATATGCCACACCTGTGAGGTAAATGGATGATCTTGACAAATGAGGTGCTCACTAACACAGTCACATAAATTTGTGAACATTTGAGATAAAAGGGCCCATTTTGTATATAGAAAAAGTCTTAGATCTTGAGTTCAGTTCATGAAAAATGGCAGCAAAACCAAAAGTGTTGCGCTTATAATTTTGTTCAGTGACTATTTGGTTTGTTCAGACGTGTCTTTGCAACACTAAACTGCGCTTCTTTATATATTTTTTTATTATATTCAAGAAAAATGATTTTCTTTTGGCCACCCTAGTGGCATTAGTTTCGTCACTCTTATTTTGTCAAACATACATTTCAAACATACAGTTTCTACTTTGACCATGACAATAACCAGCTTTGTCCAAAAAGAACATGAAAAAAATTGGCAGCAATAACTGGAGGGAGAGGTACAATTTACTCTGATAATAATTTTACTCTGACCTTGTCAAAGTCCTGAGGACCCCCTTTAGATTTACAGCAACTGCCAAAGGACAAAGAAAAGTAGGATTTTGTCATAAGACCCAATTTTCAAGAATCTTATCAAAACAGCCAAATGTGTGACAGAATACTAACAGACATACAGTCTTTCATCACAATTACATATTAATCCGTAGGCTTTAAACTCACCACTTTAGCAACTCTGCTAATAAGGATGGATGCTGTGTGTTTTGTAGGCTGAATGTCAGCTTTCAAAAATATCACTCATCACTGAACACCCCCCAAGTATCCAGTTGTGTAAGATCTCTGTTTGTCTGAAACGCATCACACTTTGGAAGAAGATGGAGTGTGGAGATCTGATGTGTAGAGAGGTGACTGCTGAGTTGTTTACCTGATGAGAATCAGGTGATTTAAGGACATTTTCACATGTAATCCTAGGCCTGTTGCAATAAACAAAAATCAATTAATCGCACGATAAATGAAAATTATCCACCTCATTTTCATTTATCGGCTTTATCCTTTCTTTTTGTCTCTACTGAAGACACTGGATGACAAAAAGGCTCAACTCCGGTGCTCTTCACTGATCCCTCCCTTTCTCTTTTCTCTTTAAAATCTGTTTTAACCGTTACAAAATCGCGTTTTTTGATCGTTAAAAGCAGCTGAACTGAGAAGCTAAGCTACGAGCTAAGCTAACAGGACGACCTCGGGAAAAGCCCTCGTCTTGTCAAAGCTCTGAAATTCATGGTCGAAACCCGTGCCTTTGTCTAAAAAGTTGTTTTTCTCTGCAAAAAGAAGCTGAGAACTCGTTTACTGATTTTTTTTTATTAAAAGCAATGTGTGACAAATGCTATGCTAAAGAGCTCAAACCACACTGAGCATCTGCCATTTTGAGAACCGAAAAACAGGAACGAGAGACAGCCCATGTCACGTCAAGGGGCCTCCCTCCCATTTTTCTTAGAGGCACGCAGCTCACTCTCTCACTATCCATCCTTTGGTTCAAACAGTATTATACTGCCATCCGGTGGTCAAAAAAGGTACTACACATGCAAATTAATCACTATTTCTTCTTAAATTTGACAATTACTAAATATCAAATTTCAAACAATATTATCGTTTATCACAATAATTTCTGAGACAATTAATCGCCCAGCAAAATTTGTTATCGTGACAGGCCTATGTAATCCTCTCAGAATGGTTGACTGATGGCTGCACAAGCTGTTGTTACAGTGTAACTACTGAACCACAAGTTTCATCCTTTTTCTTTACAGTGTTATATGTTTGGGAGCAGAAACTGAAATTTTATGTCAATGTTGGTTGATGCTAAAGACAGAACAAGTGGGGTCTTGAAAGTCATTTTAGCAGTATTTGTTTATCACACTTCATAGGCTCTGCATTACCTTTGGCTTTGTGCATCTCACATATGCAGCATTAAGGGGGCCTTTCAGAACAAAATTGTCAAATCATATTTTAGGTGATCTAAAACTACTGTGAGCAGTTGTTACATCATATAAAAGTTTGTCCTGCAAATGATTAATCAGTGCCTATGAGTTTGAATGAGAAATGAAGTTTGTAGCAAAAACACTCACTGACTTTATGACGTATGTTTTCCTATCGGTGCTGGTTCCAACAGCATTTTCTTCTTCTAGGAACATTTTGTCTGGGTTGATAAAGTAAAGTAATTTGTAATGAATGTTGCAGTGACTACAAGAGTGAACAGTATAGAAACAGGATTGAAAATTATAGGAAAGAGACCTTGAGTGATTGTTCCTGTCAGAATATACATTCTTATGTAGCCATGGTTCTATGGTTTGTACATTTACATCATAAATGGAGAGCTTTTTGTTAAAACTGTACTCCGTTCAGTTTCAGAAACTTACAGACTCATTTAAAGTTCTTTGAACTTCACCCTTTTGGGCTGATTCCTCACCTTTCTTAGGATCATTGATACGCCACGAGGTGAGATCTTGCATGGAACCCCAGTCCGAGGGAGATTGACAGTCGTGTTTATCTTCTTCCATTTTCTAATAATTGCTCCAACAGTTGATCTTTTTTCACCAAGTTGCTTGGCAATTGCCCTGTAGTCCTTTCCAGCCTTGTGGAGGTCTACAATTTTGTCTCTAGTGTTTTTGGACAGCTCTTTGGTCTTAGCCATGTTAGTAGTTGGAGTCTTACTGATTGTGTGGGGTGGATGGACAGGTGTCTTTATGCAGCTAACAACCTCAAACAGGTGCTTCTAATTTAGAATAATAAGTGGAGTGGAGGTGGACTTTTTAGAGGCGGACTAACAGGTCTTTGAGGGACAGAATTGTTGCTGATTGGCAGGTGTTCAATACTTATTTGTAGCATCCATCCATCCAGCCATCCGTCCATTTTCTTCTGCTTATCCGGGGTCGGGTCGCGGGGGTAGCAGCTTAGGGAGGCCCAGACTTCCCTCTTTCCAGCCACTTGGTCCAGCTCCTCTGGGGGAATCCCGAGGCATTCCCATGTCAGCTGAGAAACATAGTCCCTCCAGTGTGTCCTGAGTCTCCCTCTGGGTCTCCTCCTAGTGGGACGTGTCCGGAACACCTCACCAGGGAGGCGTCCAGGAGGCATCCTAACCAGATGCCCGAGCCACCTCATTTTATTATTTATCTTATTTGCAGCCGTAACACACAAATACATTATTTAAAAAATCATACATTGTGATTTCTGGATTTTTTTAAAGATTATGTCTATCACAGTGGACTTACACCTAGGATGAACATTTCAGACCCCTCCATGATTTCTAAGTGGGAGAACTTGCAAAGTCGCAGGGTGTTCAAATACTTATTTTCCTCACTGTATAGTGGACGAGGATGATTAGAATGAAAGATTAGATGATTTACAGCCACCCTGAATGTGTTCTTGGCCAACAGATTGCTGTATCTCACCACATTCATTTGCATCATCATCATCAGTATTCATCATCTTGAGAATATTAATTCCTGCCATTTGCTTTGACACCTTTACTGCTCGGGTCTTTTCTGCCAGATAGAAGTAAGGCATGCAAATGTGCTTTCTATGTGCGAGTTTGTGTGCACACACAGAGGGTTAGATGAAAATTATGAAAGAGGGGCGAGATGCCAGGAAAACATTATGCCTGAGGGAGTGAATGTGTGATTGTGTATAACATAACGTGGAATACCTTTATTCTGCAGCCGCTACATCAAACTGCACATACTTCATCTGGTTGCTGGTTTTTTTTTTTTTTTTGGAGGTGCCACAGTGACAGCTTGTGGTGATTTTAAAACTTAAACGTTCACACAGTTATTTTTTTAATGGACACATATGCAAATACAATGTTGTAACAATGAAAAATACTGATATCTGTCTCAAACGATGGTTGGGCCTCACAAAATCACACTTTAACTCAAATGTAAGATTATAAGCAGATGTCCCCTTTAACTCTGGAATCGAACTGGCTGCTGAGCCTTAAGTTTAAAATAAACTGTAACTACTGTAAACTGTCAACGTAGAACGTCACTTACAAGATTTGACCAAAACATCTTTACCTTTAGCATTAGAAGATCTTCGTTTAAAACTCATAACGGCAGAGGGTGATGCTGTGCCTTTAATTGTTTAAAATGGAATTGAAACCTTATGTCACCGTTGATTGAATAATTAGAGCAGATGAGCAAACTGAGATCTCCAACCTATAAGCTTCTTACACATTCTATGTTCTGTAGCTTCATGTAGAGGTGCTCGTCGTTTGTGTTTCTCACACCCATCCATTAGTCTGACTCATCCCCTTTTATTTGTCACATTATTCTCTGGACACGTGTGCTCGGATGGTTCTCATCTCACATTAATGATGAATCTGCACTGACTGGTATTTTCTGGTATTGTGGTTAAATTGAAAAACCTGCCATCCATTTTTTTTCTTACTTTCTGCACATCCTTGAAGATGCTTTTATAATTGAAAATGACCAGGGATGAAAAGTCATGAAAGGCAAGACATAATTGAAAAATATATTTGTAGGAATGAAGTGAATTGTTCAGTAAAATTACTTATTTTTTTTAATGTAGTGTACCAGTAAAAATAATTAGGTGCACATTTTCGTCTGGAGTCTGCGCAATCAAATTCTAACTACATGTATAGATGTTGTTGCATTTGCATTCACATATTCAAGTAAAAAAGGATCTCTCTTGTAAACTGAGTCCCCGAGGTTCAATGAGACTAACCTGCATAAATAAAGGTTGAAGGAATGAACATTTATGACTGTTCTGGAAAAACAGGATGATGTGAGCGAGAGTTGGAAGCAATAAAATCCATGATTGATCACTAAAAACTGTGTTTGCGTTTGAAAAACATTCTAAAACGTTCAGAAGATACAGTAAAAAAATCACAATAAGGTGTAAAGACTTAAAGTAATGCTCATATGTTTATGTAAATGTTGACTTTCTGACACCAGAGGGCGCTCTTCTCTTACTAAAGCTAAAAAAGCAATGATTAGAAAAGAGGGTTGAAGTTTTCATTTTCAGTCCATTTCTATGAGGGTAGAGGCATTAAAGTTACTTTTTTGTGTAGAGTAAATGTGCCAGGAGAATATATTTTCACACATCCAAGCCTGCTTTTGATGCTTTTTCTGTTAAAATACAGTAAACACCCAAATCCAACACACTTTTCTACACTGTCATCTTGGGCTTTTAGCCATTGCTTTTCCTAAACCTTTTAACAAATGTTGTGTTTTTGCTCTACTAAGTGCTGATTTCTTCTCCACAGATTCGAGGCTTCCTCTCCAGGTTTGACAACGTGCTGCCTGCCAGTTTAGCCTTTGACAAATGCACCGCCTGCTCTCCTAATGTAAGTGGCACAATTTGTTTTCCTACACTAATTACATCATTTAAATCTAATTTTGTAGCTACACAATGTTTTTTTCTTTCACTTTTTTTTTTTTAACAGCAACTAAAACATCGATATAGAGAATCTGATTTTCTTATCAGGTCAAATTCTGTTACTATGTGACAGCAATGTTTTGAAACACAAATTGCAGCCTTAGCAGAAATCGAGGGGATTCCCAGCGCTGCTATTTCCACATTGTTAAGTCAATGAAGCTGTGTTGAAATGTTGTTCCTTGAGGAATACAGAAGACACACACAGCAAAGCTGCTTAAACCATATGGTAATAATCAGGCACCAGTTGCTCACTGCTGTCAGAAACTGTCGTACGCTCCCACCGCTGGCGAGTGTGTGCGTTTATGAACGAGCTGAGGGAGAGTCCATATAGTCTAAATCAGGCAAACGTCGTCACCGGTCAGCGTGGTTAGTGGTACAGATGTGTAAGTGTTCAGGAGGGGTGGAAAACAACAATTTAGAGATGGATAAACTTAAAACAGGGGTTATAATAAGTAAATGAAGTGGAGTACTGAAGAAAAGGAGTGTGGTGAGTGTAGCTGGTTTGCCTCATTTCCCCCTTGATCTCAATGCCGTCTTTGTGTCGATAAAGAGGTCATAAAGCCCCAGATCTATCGCTTTCATGTGAAGACAGAGACACTAGAGGCCGAGGGGGGGCAGGGAGTTGGTTAGCTTCTGCATTAAAACTTTTCTCCACCTACGCGCTTAAAAAAAAAAATGGCCTTGTGTTCCAGCCCATCTTAAGGTGTCACGTTTCTGCCTGTGTGACAGATGAGATTATCTGGGCTGCACTGAGGTGTTCATATACTTTGACAGAGGGTGGATGGAGCCCGTGCAGGCAGGAAGAATGGACTACATGAGTTTGTGAAGACGATTTGTTTCTGAGGCAGGGATAAAGTGAATATGTGTTAATCCCACCCATACATCTTTAGCCTCCCTGTTTTGCATTTTGCTTATCTGCCTTTCACTCTGCTCTTTTCAGCCCGCTCAGATTTCACCTCTCCTGCTTCTCCCTTCCGTCTCGCTTCCTGCTCTTCCTCCCCCCCCCCCCCCCCCCCTCTTTTGTGTGTCCCTGTGCTCATATATTGGTGTGCTCACTTTAATGGCGTGCTTGTGTGTGTGTCAGTCTTTGTCTTCACTTTAGATGTGTGTGTGAGCTAGTGGATGTCTGCCTGTGTGTATTTCTGCCGCAGTCAGCTGTGGGCTGCCAGGTCACTATGGAAACAAAACAATTCAGCCTCTGTCTGGGCTGGAGCAGTTCCTGTAGAAGAGTTAGGGCTTTTCACTTTGTGTGTATGTGTGTGTGTGTTTTCCAACTCCTTTGGGGCTGCAAGCCAATAAAACTACACTCCAAAGAGTAAATCACAGCTGACGTGGCATTGTCTAAGACCATGCCAGACACCTCATACTACAGCTACTTGTTCACACGACCAAATGTGCTGCCACTATATATAGGAAACTATTTCTATGTCTTAGCATTACAACATTTGCACTTTTACAACTAAACTATTAAAAAGTATTGTACCTTATTTAATAAAATATTGCTCCAAATGTACGGAGCTCCAAAAGTGCCCGACGATCATACTGAAAATATGACTCGGCACACTGCACAAACCATTGTAAAAATAACAAAAATAAAATACAAGCAGAGAGCGAGAGACGGGCAGCCCTACACACCGGCGCCATCTTGGATATCTTCCAATTGCTGTCATAAATAGTCTTGAAAATAAAGCAAGATAAGACAGAATGTATTCATCCTGCAGGAAATTGTTGTGCCAGTGTATACTTATGTTTTATTTGTTGTTTTAGGCTACTGGTTTTTTTTGGGTTTTTTTTTTCTGATTAATGCCTGTAACACGGCTGATTAAAAAAAAATACACTAGTCTACTAGGAAGTCATTGATTGCTACCCCCCAAAGAGAGATGTGTATTGGGCAGCTATGTGAGCACCTGGGTGTGACAAAGCTAAATGTTTTGGTGGCATGAAGCTCATTAGCCCGTCAAAAAAAAATCCATAAATTAGCCACAGCATTGTATAAGCCGCAGTGTTCAAAGCGTGTGAAAAAGTAGCAGCTTGTAGTCTGGAAATTACGGTCAATATCTCATGGTACAATGTGGACACCCGCGGGCGGTGACTTATTGACAAGTGTGGCCTATATATATATATATAATATATATATATATATATATATATATATATATATT